CGATAAAGAGATACCCGACCCGAACATCCGATCGAAAAAAACTTCAAACTGCTTGGCCCGTCACAACCACGCTCCATTCTCCCGAGGCAGTAGATTCCAAATCGATGTTTAGAGCCTCTGCACAAGGCCTCGCATGCGCCGCATGAGCCGCACGCCTCTTCTCGCACAACGGACAGCGCCTTGGTATCACGCCTGCCTGCCCCATGCATGAACGGGGAACTGATGCTTGGTCGCATGGTCCGAGCGGCGACCGTTCCTTGTCCTCCAGGATCACTTCGCGCGGCGCGCACCCCTGCCGCGGCGAGGACATCGACGATTGGCGCATGACCGGCCGTGTTCGGCATCCGGTGCACATACGTACAGGTGAGCCTGGCACCCGGTCGGACATCAGATGGGAAAAGATAGGGAAAGAGTCGACATACCCGGGCCCAAGCACGAACTCTCCGCCGAGCTGGGAGGCATCCCCACCCCGCTCCCACACAGGCATCCCGACGCGCAGTGCGTGTGCAACAACCATCGCCAATCCGCTCACTGCGCCGTGTCGCACGTATGACCCCACGGGATGTTCCGTCGAAGAGCGCGCTCTCTGTGAGCCGGACGGGACTCGACCCATGCCGAGAGTACGGTAGAGTGTCTGGCCTGGCGACGCGTCGACGAAAAGCTCGTAAGGAAGGTGGAAGATTTCTGTCAGATCGTAGTTAGATGGAGCCCACGCATCAGGTGATGGAAGTCGTACGGCGATATGAGCGGATGAGCCCGTGCGAACCACATCCGATCACGACAAGGCGTACGCCGGATCGCGCGAGCGCAGCATGGTCTACGTCGCGCATGAGAGACGCGAGGTAGTCTTGACACATCGGGCACCTGCGAAACCATGCGATGTGATTAATACCCCTGGCATGAAAGTTCAACGACAAAAGTGGCGCACCAGAAATGCCGGATAAAGAGCACCACAGTCCGTTGCATACGCCATAGCTCGCCAAACTGAATTCGCAGGCCGTTCTCGCGTACGACTGGTACACACGCAGCTTGCGTAAGCTGTGCGGCGCTCAACATTCCCGTCATTCCTGACTCTGAAAGCGCGCGTCGGTGTGCGTGCCCATATCGCTCTTGTGTATGAGGGTTATGTCGTCCAAGTGACGAACAAGGCGAGGTGTCGCGGCGCCGCGAGTGAGGGGCAGACAACGTCGACATGCTTTCAACATGAGAGGAAAGTGAAGATGCAGACCGCGAGGCCAAATTGGACGTCGTACGTGACGGCGTTACAGTCGTTTGTAAGGAACGTGGAGGTGGGGGCGGAGGATGACGACTGATATGTGAAGAGGGGATGGAATGCGGAAGGGGCACAGTGGGCGCATGCCCGACACGGGGCGGAGCTGCACCTGCAGGCAAACAGTTAAGGGACGTTTCAGACAACGTTCCATGACCAACAGGGGAAATTGGTTGTGATGCACCGTGCGTCGATGACGTCGGTGCGGGAGGAAAATTCTGACGTTGCGGATGTGATGGTTCATGGTCGTGCGCATGGACGTGGGGCGCGGGTGAGAGCTTTATCATGGGCTCTGGGTGTGTTGTGATCGTTGGTGGGCTGGGCAGTGGGCGTGACAACGGTAATGGCGTTGAGGAACTGCGTGCAGCCGTGTCATTGCGTGAGGTCAGAGATGTTGGTACCCGTTTCAGCGAGAAGGCAGACTCCAGCTCTCCCGGCTTTGAGGGAACGAGTGGGGCAGAGTCTCCAGCACCAGGCATGTGCAAGACAATAGCGACGCTGTCGGTGTTTTGTTGTGAAAATGCACGGGTAACAGAAAGGTCGGTAGATGGCTGCTTAATACCGCACCTCGCGCCACCAGTCTGCGGATCCACGCACGGACACTTTTGCGATTCCTTTGACTGGGGAGGAGTCCCGGGAATAAGGGATGTCGTTTTTGCGTCATCAGATAAGGTGACCGGTCCTTTTGTGACCTGCGGAGGTACAGTGACCCCGGGAGTTGCGACATTAGCAGCATCCTCAGCAGCAAGTTTCTCTGCGGTTTCTACAGCTGCTCGCAATGTGCTACGTAGTGATGATGAGGTGCTGTCTCTCTGTACTGGCAACGGCCTAGACGTAAGGGCCCGCAATCGGGCAAAGCCTCTGTCACGTTCCACGGACTCGCGCCCCAACTTGGCAGATTGCTCTTGCGTCGGAAATCGGAGGTTAAGCTGAAAAGGTAAGGCATCCAAGTCCTCTGGGAGTGTGGGAGTCCTGTGGGAGCCGGATGGTAGCGAGATTGCAAGGGTGGATGGAATTGGATTGGCGCGGTGTAGGGACGACGCCGTGGGTGAAGCGGTGAAGAGTGTTGACTTGGGTGGGAAGTTGGCTGGAACAAAGGGAAATGAAAGCGCTGCGGTTGATGGCAAGGAGACAGGACGACTACTTCGGATCGAACTGGGAGTCTGTGGCCGAGAAGGAGTAGGGTAGAAGGGCGCGTCGCGGGACCAAGAACTGATCGAAGATACGGACGGGCTCCGTTTCTCGAGGGGTGGGGGAGGCAGGGTGTGCGGAGTCTCTGAACGTTTCTCTGAGCCTTGAATTGCAGGCATGTCAACCTGCATGACATGCATACTTTTGCGTAATGGCACCGCCTCGCCAAAATGTTCGGGCACATCATCAAGCAAAGTTGCGGACACGAATGAACTTCCACAGGAGCGCGGTCGTACCGAGACTTCGCTCCCCTTACGTTCGCGATGTGTAGAACCCCCCAATGAGGTCGAGGAGGACGTGAGTACACTCACACGACTGTCATATGGGGACAGCGAGTGTCGCCTCCTAGACGGCTCTACGTTGGGATGGGCCTCTGGTTCACCACGCGATTCAAGGAAGGAAAACGTGCCCGAACGCAACGCAAACACTGACTGGGAGCGACGCCGCGCCTCGTGGCGTTGCATTTCTTTCGCACCCGGGCGAGGTGTCGCGGAAGCAATGGTGGTCGCGGCTGGGACTCCATGTCCGGACGAATATTGGTTTAGACCAACGCCCATAGACGCTCCTTTACGTAGCTGGGATGCATGCCCTATCCGGCCGATTTCCCCAGATGGGAACCCGAACGCCGCTGACTTCTTGCGCGAGTGCGTGATGAAGGTAGCGAGGTCCAGCACCCTGGATGACCCCGGTGTCGGGTCTGGAACCGTAAGAGGGGATTCGTACGCTGAAGTCAAGAGTGTTGCAGTGCGATCTCGAAGAACGGAAAGGGGAGCAAATGGGTTGGTGGGATCTGGCTCTGGGTAGCGCGCGGAGTATGGAAATGGCGGTGGTGGCTTACGCTTGATACGGTGCGCACCAACGTCCTGAGATGGTTCAGAGGACATGTTATCCATCAGGCAAAAATAACGTTAGCAATACAGAGGGTGATGCCTCAGCCTCTGAGGGAAGGAAGGGGGTAGGGTAGAAACACATTCATGAAGACTGGAGAGGGTTGAAGTAAGTGATAAAAATGAGGGGAAAACGTTGGTGGTGTGAGCCTGCCACGAAGGGACGGCATGTTAAGTGGGGTTGGCTATCGGATATACCACTCTTCTCATCGCATTGGAGATTTGAATCACGCGGCATCTGCCGCCCTAGATTGGTATGATGAATACATTCCCCCCTGCGGCTTCGAGTTGAGGCCGTTCGCTTTAATCATTCTCCAGAGGGTGATGAATGGCAGGGCCCAAGTTCTGACCGGGGTAGTGGCGGAGATTCGGCCGAAGGGAATTTTTGCGCTGATGGTTGAAGACACCACAATCACGGAGGACCCTGATGGGGTTATAGAGAGGCTCAGAACCTATCGGAATGCCCATAAAAGGCGAGATTTGGACCAGTTGAACCTAGAAAGTCAAGAGAAGAGATCAACAGCCCGAAGTTGAATCGCCTGTTATAGATGGAGGGGTTGTTCAGGAAATGGGTCGTTGTGAGTCCGGCTACGAAGGCAGGAATGTTGACAATGAGTACAACGTCCGAGGTACCCAGGCTCCCACGTCGAACTCGTCACCTTGCTATGGTCGGAGCTCGACTTGCTACAAATGGCGTTGAACGGGGAATGTGTGTCTTCTGTGGGCCAAACTTACGTTTTCAGCGCGAAATGAAGCTGTGTGCGTGGTGACCTTGAAGGGCTTGTTCTCATCTCCGTGACCGCCATGTCTTCGGGTTATCAGACGAAGGGCACGCGAATTCGTCACCGACCCGTACCATGCTCGGTCATTCCACGGATACGAGCGGCCTCCGATATATTATGGAGCAGGGGAAGAATTGACGATTGAGGTAACGAGCAAGGATCATCAGAAGTGTCGCATGCCAGTGGCGGGAGGACTGTGTAGGGTCATCTCCATCTCTCAGAAGTGAACATGTGACACGGTGATATGTCAACGAGTCGACATTGCCTCGATAAGACAATAAGACCCCTGCAACGTGATAAGTAACATGATTCTCGAAACATGGGATAAAGCGCTTCACTCACCCACTCGGTTGTGGGGACACCTAAATGTTGTCTAAGCTTTCGCAAGCTAGGCGCATATGGGAGAACACGCCCAGGGGCTCCACAGAAATGGCGAACGCCTGTGATAACGAGAAGGCCAAAGGGTAGGGTCTCTAAGGGTCAGCGGGTCGTGCGAGACGAAACATTGATGTCTCCTTATCAAGCAATGGCTAGACAGAGGTATGCAGGCAAACTTTCGAGAGAAAGTCATACGATAACAGACTGCAACCACATCAAAACGCATTTCATGTCATGGCGTGTGAGAGATTTCGCTCTTGCTGTTACACGAAGAAAAGCGGCGTGGGTTCGGCTATTGCGATAGTCCCACGGTACGCTGGGGACAAACCGAATACCAAGCACGAGAGTGGGGAAACGAGAGAGAACTCGCGGCCATCAACAAGGCGTACACACAACAGAGAGCCTGGGGAGAGTTGGGGGGGGCATCCCAGTACCGCGCCAATGAGCCAAACTGACAGCAATGAAATTGTGACCAACATAACTTTTTGATGTGCCGGGGTAGCTCAGCTGGGAGAGCAACAGACTGAAGCCATACTGAGTTCTGGAGGTCCCGTGTTCAATCCACGGTCCTGGCAAACTTTTTACCCGCATTCAAAGATTCTTTTTCCTATGTGCAATGCATGATAGCAAAGTATCAGACAAAGACATCAAAGGGTGGTCATCCATCGTGCCCGCGCTATTGCACACGATACACGCTGACTGACATGTACTTTGGCACTACTGTACTGCATCCGAGTGAAACGTCCCGTCCCGCTCGTCCACTTGTGCGGGATACAGAAAACACGTACCCACTTTGTATCCACTTGTATTATATGTCTGAGTTCTAAGGCTTTTCAGTAGGTGGCCCGCCCTTCTTCGGCGGACCGCGAGCCAAAGATTCCCGTCCCAACGCGTACTATATCTGCGCCTGCGTTCAAGGCCAGTTCAAAATCATCCGACATGCCCATGCTCAACAACAACCTTCCCCCACGCCCGCCCTCCCTCTGCTCCGCATCGCATCGCATCCACACCTGCGCCCTCGCCCTCGCCCTCGCCCCAAACGCCATCGTCCGGCAGCACGCGCGCAAGCCGATCCCTCGCCCCCCTCAGCTTCGCAAAGTCCTCCTCTCCGCCTCCCGCCGCGCCGATCGTCATGAGCCCGACGAGGCGCAGACGCGGACACGCGCGCACGACGTGCGTGGCGAGCCGCGCGAGCTGTTCCTCCGCGCCCGCGTCGATCCCGCCCTTCGCCTCCTCCGCCGACGTGTTGAGCTGTATGAGCACGCGGAGGGGCGCGTGGTCCGCCTGACGATGCCGATTGAGCGCGTCCGCGACTTTGGCGCTCGCGAGGGTCTGCACGGCGTACAAATTTTCGATGCCTGGTTCCCCGACCCGCACACACATCACCGCCCGCCGCCGCCGCCACCACCACCACGTCGTCGTCGTCGTCGTCGTAACGCCCAAAAAAAAAAAAAAAAAAAAGGAACCGAGAAGGGGATAGGATACGCTACTTGCGAGTGCTTTGGCCTTGTTCGACTGCACCGTGCCGATGAAGTGCCACCGCACGTCGCGGGGCAGCACGGCAGCCTTCTCGACGAGCTCTTGCGCGTAGTTCTCGCCAAAGTCGCGCTGTCCCGCATCGTAACATGCGCGCACGTCGACCGCTGGTTTGTATTTGGATACAGCCACGAGAGTGGGCGAGCGTCCTGATGAGCTGGGTGCAGCGGCTGCAGCCATCCGAGCGCGGATCTCGCTGAGGGACGTGTGCAGCTCCGCGGTGCGTTCGGGCGAAGGGAGGGGTACAGAAGTGATAAGAGGTGATGACGTGGTACTCATCGTTTCTGCGCGGAGCTGGGTGTAGTATTGGACAATGGCTCGGGTTCCAAAGGGTGCTCGCATACAAGTATCAGTTGGTTTACCACCAACCCAGAATAGTCATCTGCTCGAGGTACCTGGGGGACCTGTTTGGCTGCCACGCTTAAGCCACTGGCAGACCACATTAGAACACCACACCGCCATTTATCCGGCTCGGTATGCATAATCACAAATACTGTACAGTCAATAAGACAAAGTACATAATAAGTAGACGTAAACCGTCAGCCAACATCATACAAGGTCAACGAGGTACGGAAGCGATCAGTGTGCGACTGACAAGTAGAGCGAGTGCGTGATTATGTGCGCGTGTCCGGAGACTATAGGAGTAAGAGGTACGTTGGGGGTAGCGGGTGTATTTTGTGCAGCGTGAATGCGGGTGTATGCAGAGATGATGCTGATGATGGTAGGAACACTAAACGCATGGTACAAGTATCGGGGGAGCGGGGTCGAGGCAAAGGAAACATACAGCGAAACATAGAGCAAAGGGCAGCAGTGGAAAACGGAGAGACCATCAGCAATTGTTTTTGATGAGCGCCTCAAATATGTAAGTACTTCTCGTTGAGGAGATGCACCTCGCGCGCGAGGTAAGGCCAGTTAACACAACGCGCGAGTTCCGTGCGCAGACGTTCTGTGTCACCCGCAGCACGGTCATGCGCGAGCTTCACTTCCCAACCACAGAGATTATATAATAAGCGCATATTTGGTTGGATCAATACGCTCAGGCGACGTGAGCGTACGATAAGGTATGCCTCGACAAGAGAAATCCCGAGGTATTTCATGACGTATGCGATGGTGACAGTCGCGCTGCGAGACACGCCTACGCGACAATGCACGAGTACTTTGCCACCTTGCTCACGCGCCCGGTCGATCCATTCACAGATTGGGGCCAGTTGCGGCTCGAGGGTATCAATGCCATCGTCACATACCCCCTTTATATCGAGAACCTTGATGCGACCTTCGCGCTCCTCGATGTACAGGCTGCCGCGTCGTTCTGAGCATCCATTCATCACAACGGAAGCTAGGGGTTTTTGCTGCGCTGGGTGTGGACGCCGTTCCGGTAGAAGAATCAGGAGGAATGAGTGCACATTCCCCGACTGAGACGACATGCGTAATACCGAGAGCGTGGAGCATGTACACATTCGCTGCGTGATTTCTGCGTGGTCAATCTGATTTAAAAAATTGTCAAACGGACGCAAAGTGGGATACTCACAGGTTTCCGAGGTACAAGAATGGCAGTACGCGGCTCGGGAAACTGCCGTCGAAGCGCGGATCATCAAACCAGACCTGGTGATCATCCACAAGCGAGGGTAACAACGGGCTCGTGCTTGCACGTGGCCGTCGCATTGATACTATGGGGGAATTTACCGTCTCATCATAGGACGCTGACATTGCGCTGGAGTTGACAACGGAATTTGTGCGCGCGGGTCCGGAGAGGAAACGACGAGGGGAAGGCACCTTAGCATAGCGATCACGTGCCAGCCTGCCCTCAACGGTCTTCAGCAGCCGAACATCGCTCTCGTAGACAAAGAAGCTCCGCTTCTTCGTCACCTATATCAACAATCTTTTAATCTCCAATTGTTCAAATTTAGGCTAATGGGCTCACCTGGAGCTCGAGATAAGCCTCCGGAAGGGTCATTCCACGGACCGACATGATCAACGACAGAGCGAGCACACTGCTCTCGGTATATCCGTCCGAGCTCCATACCAGTATTTTCGCAGGTCGCCCAAACCCACGCTGCTTATTGGGCTTCAGTAAAGTTTCCAGAAATTCCAGGAACAGCGTCATTTCCTCGGCAACAGGAAGTAAAGGGAATGGAAGGTAAACTATGGCCGCGGCATTTGGCGGGGGGCGCGGGCCTTTTCCACCAGAAACCTGCCAACGCCGCTCGAGCTCCATGAGGTGCTCCTGGGCACTTAAAAGCAAGCCCAAGGTGGGTCGTGGCGCGCGAAGTCGACACTCTATACAGACATCGTAACCCATACCATCCGCGGGTGAATTTCCTGAGCTGTCAAGTAGGTCGATATTTCGCCCCGAGGGGTCCCCGGGCAAGAATGGTACATCGTTGACATTTCCAAGGAAGACCTGACCCAGGCCAGGAGTCCATGGTTGGTTGTCCGCTAACTTGTCATGCTGGTCAGGTGAATGGATGGTGATGATCTCGCTAGCGCGAGTCAGCTCGCGCATCTCGTCCTTCTCACGCTGTGCAAGGTTGATTGTATGTGGTCCCACAAGGAGATGGCTCAACTTTGTGCGAAACTCGGCGGGGGTGGCATCAAGTACGAAGACATGATATGGGATTCGGGATGCGGCGCGAGCTTCAACAGCTTGTTTAAATTTTTCGGCCAAAGCAAAGGCAGCCCTGGTTGCACCTCGGCGGGAGTGAACGACTATGTCCGAAAGGGTTGCATAGATTGGCTGGAATATCAAATCAGAAACGAATTGGATGAAATTGGGTTGAAGAAGAGAAGAGGGTGGTGCGCTGCTCCACACCCCACCGCAGCTAAACCGGTCCTCGCACGTTCTGCGGGATGCGCGGTTATTTCCATTTTGGGATGTGGCGCAAAGAATGAATAATCGCCCAAATTGGCTTGTCTTAAAACCGTTGACAGGTGACCAGGGGCGAACCGTCTCAACGGTCGTCATCGTGGGGAATCCCCACACTGGTCACCTGACCCTTTTGGGGCGCAGGAACCAATGATTCTCAAGGAGGACCAAGACGATACATCAGAGAGGAAAACGTACCAGTTGGATTTCAAAGTTGCGCAGTGAGATGCCGTCTGGGACTTTCAAGTGGACGAACTCCGCATTTCCGTCCGAATTGATCTGGAGGAGATCCCGGGGCTTGAAGCCAAAGGCGATGAGAGGGGCGACACGAGGCTTCGGCTCGGGGGAGGGTGGCCCGAGAGGTATACATGAAGGAGGGGGTGAGTCGAGATCGAGCGAAGTGGCGGGAGTGGACGGTGACGGCATGCTGAGGGATTGGAAGGACGACGACGACGAACTGGTCGACGATGAGGCACTCCGGTCGCGAGCCAGTGCCGTGTTGGTATATATGCGGGGAGCACGGCATTTCACGGGGTGCATATGAGGTGCACCGTCAGAGTCTGGAGCATCACAGGTGGGGTCGATAGGTGCAGGGGAGGGGGAGGTCGAAGGGGGGGAACCAGGCGCTTCTTGTCCATGGTTGTGATCCAGGTCGAGGTCGGCATCTATGTCCATGTCCATGTCGAGCTCAAAGGAATGACCCATGTCCCCAACATCACTCCCAGCCTCGTCATCAGAGTCGTCACTGGCGATGACATCCGACTCGTCGTCACTCGAGGGGGTATCGTCTTCCTCACACGCGACCCAAATTAGGCCACGGAAGCGAGGGGGGATTACGGGGGCGTCAGAAGTGACGGAGAAAAAAGCGTTTTGCTGTTCGTTGTCGCCTTCGAGGCCGTGAAGAAAAGGGAAGAGGACATGGTCGGGAGCATGGGAAGTAGTGGCGATACGATGAATGGACGCAAACTGGGATGCAGAGAGCGCGCGGATGGGTGTATGTGGGGCAGGACGGGGAAGAAGCACGGGTAGAGAGGAGAGAAAATCAGGAGGATAGTTGAGACCATGAATGACAGCGTCATCGGTAGCGGGGACGGGTGCAGAGCTCATGTGTGGTGGGTGATGTTGTGGGAAAGACAAGTGTGGGCGTGGGTGGTTCGTTATGTGGTTTAGAGTGAG